ATTGGATTCCAGAAAAAAAGATAAGAGGAGATTCAGATGAAAATAGGTTTTATGCAATGAAGGAGTGTAATCCATGTGTAAAACATAAAAAGAGAGAATGTAAATGTCATCATGGTGATGATATATGTGAGATTTGTAATGATAAATGTCCAGAGAAAACAAAAGCCAGGATTGAAGGATCAAAAGATAAAATTGGACCTTTTGATTTTGGAGATTATCGTTATTTAGGTGGAAAAGAACAAAATAATGAAGCTGATAATATGGATGTTGATGATAATGATGATGTAGAAAATAATAATGAGGATAAAACTATTGATCATAAAGCAGAATTAGAAAGAAAGAAAAATAAAGAATTTGATGCTATTATAGAAGGAAATGAAATGTTAATTAATGGTGCTACACTATTAGAAGTTTTTAGATACAATAGAGATAAAGTTACATATTCTAGTAATTATTCTAATATGAGTAGTATTCATCGGGATATAAAACGAGAAAAAAGAATGAAAAGAGGTTATAGAATTTGGCGTCCACCAGTTTTTTATTTTTATGGGGAATCAGGAAGTGGTAAGACAAGTTTAATAGAAGAATTATTTGGAGATGAATTATTTTCAAAGGATGAAAAAATAAGGGGAGGTGCAAGTTGGTGGAACGGTTACGAAGGACATCAAATTGTATTAATTGATGAATTTTATACAAAGTTTGATTGGAATAGTATGATTAATTTGTTGAATGATTCTAAATGTAATCTTCATATGAAATATGGTTTACCTGAACCATTTGTTCCATTTATTATTTTTTTAACGAGTCCAAAACCACCTGAAGAAGCATATAATTTTGGTCAAAATGGTCATAAGGAAGATTCAAATAAACGTAATTTTAGGCAATTTGTGAGGAGATTAAATTTTGTTGTGGAATTTTCCGGATTTTGGGATGATGACATAGAAAAAAGAACTACTAGTATTTCTTTTAGAGAATCACCATTAGAACGTGTTTATTGGGGTAATGAAGAAGAATTTAGGTCAATGAACTGGGATATTAAATTTAAAAGGGGTAAATGTACGATTGAACAAACTGTTAAAAAGGCAGAGATGTTTACTGAGGGAATTGAAGGTGAATATTTTGATGTTGATGGAAAAGTTTATTGGCGACGAAAATTTCCAGATTATTTGAAAAGATATTTACGAGATTATCCAAAATGTAAAGAAATGAGTGAATATGTAGAAGAATCAAATAAAGAACAAAATAAAAATAATTTAAATATAAATAGTAAACGAATATCTGAAGAATTAGTAAGTAGTGATAGTAATAAGAAAAGGAGATATGATAATGAAAATGAAGAAATGGAAATAGATGATAATAGTGATAATAATGTAACAAATAGTGATGTAGAATATTAATTAATAAATAATAAAATGTATAAATACAGATTAATTTAATAATAAAATATAATAAAAAAAATAAATTTAAAAAGAAAAAGAAAATTAGAAGATTTGAAAAAAATAGATTATATTATTAATAAAAATATATCATTAGAAAAAGTTATAATGAATCCTGAATTAATGCCTAATGTATGGATTAATACTACGCAAAAACGTAGACAAGTAGAAAAAAAAAGAAGAGAGATTGAAAAAGAATGTAGGGGTGGTCGATTTTGGCGTCCATTTACGTTTTATTTTTGTGGATTTGGCGGAGAATTTGTAAAAGGGTTATTTAGAAATGAGTTATTTGAGAAGGAAAATATGAAAAAGAATGGAAATACTTGGTGGAATAGGTATGAAGGACAAGATATTGTTTTATTAGAAAATTTTCATAAGAAAGTTGGATGGGATAATATTGTAAATATATTGAATAATACTGAGTATAGTGTTGAAATGAGATACGGTAAATTTGAATATTTTCTTGCAAAATATATATTTATTACTGATATAAAATTACCTCAAGAAACATATAATTTTAATGATAAAGGTTGGGAGAATTGGAGTCAATTCGAAAGACGTCTTGATTATATTATTGAATTTAAAGATAATAAGTTTATATTTCATAAGGGTGATAAGGAAAAATTTTTAAATATGAAGTGGGATATTAAATATAATAATAGTAGTTATAATAATGAAGAAATTATTGAAAAGGGAAAGATGTTTACAAAAAATATTGATGGTAAACATTTTATTAAGAATAGAAAGGTATATTGGCAACGTGATTTTTCAGATGAAAAGAAATTATATTTACAGAATTATTTTAATAGCATTTAGTTTATATTTTTTATTATTAATTATTTTCATTAATTAAATATTTTATAAATAAAGTAAATATATTTTATTTGGAATTTAATGGATTTACGAGAATTTCCTATAGAAATTTTAATTAATATTTAAAAAAATATCACTGATAAATTTTTGTTTTTAATTATTAATAAAGAATAATATAAATGTATGATATTTTTTGAAATAATTTATATTCAAAAAATAAAGATGTTTAAGAAATATACGAATATAGAAAAATTTCAAAAAAAAAATCCTTTTTTTACTGTTTATATTTACGGTCCTCCTGGAATTGGAAAGACCAATTTTGTGGAAAAGGTATTTGAAAGATGTCATAAAAAATCTGATAAAGGAAGAAATGGTTCGAATTGGTGGAATGGATATAAAAATCAAAAGATTGTTTTGTTAGAAGAAATAGAAACAAAGATTGATTGGAATGATTTAGTTAATTTATTGGAAGGAGATAAGCATGAGATTATTGAAAAGTTTGGAATTTTTAAACCATTTGTTGCAAAGTATATTTTTATGACAAGTGTAAAATCTTTAAATGAATCATTAGAATTTAATGATTTATTTCATAACTTGTATCAATTGATCGATTATATTATTGAGTTTGATAATCAAGGAAAAGTTAAAGTTCATAAAGGTGATAAAGAAAAATTTTTTAATATGGAATGGGATGTAGAATGTAATAATAATAGTTTTTCAAGAGAAAACAAAGATTTTTTAAAAAGTAAAATTTAAATAATTATTTTTTATTTTGTTTTATTATTTATGATTTTGTATAAATATAAGAGAAATTTTATTTTTATTTGAATAAATATTTTATATATTTAAAAAAAAATGTCAAGAAGAAAATCAAAATTAAAATTAAAAATGAAAAGTTCGGAACAAGAATTTGAAAGATTTTGGGATCCAACTGTTTTTTATTTTTATGGAACTAGAGATTCTGGAAAAACAAGTTT